AAATCCTCCTTTAAATTAGTAAACTTTTTAATCATAATTTGTTAATCCAAACTTAAATAATTTTCATCTCTAAATCACAGCTCTACTTTAATATTTCTATTTTCATACTAGTCCCTTAATTTTCGCTAATCAGTTATCTTTCCGCCTGTCACTAAAGGAATTTTCGTTTTCATTTTTAATGTGTTAACCAATATATCACACTAAAGGCGTAGATTTGCATTTGCATTTGACAGTCTTCGTTGTAACTGACTCACTTATCCCCTGCCTTTGGGTGAAAAAAACATTTTTGTCAAAGTTTTTATTTGAGAAGCATGTTAAGGATGTATAAGTTCACTCGTCTATCTTTTGAACAATATCTTGACATTTTTCAGAATTATAATGCAAAAGTTTTGGCTTAGTCTGAGCATTGATCGCCAATGAATAAGTTCAATTTATGGGGTATAATTGTGATTTTAGAAAGCAATCTCCCTATTCCGACTTCGTCCATAATGATGGATAATATTTTCCATGTGTTAGAATCAGTTTCCGCATGTGTATAATTGGTGAAGTCAACTAAATTTAACTGTTCGGTAATTTATTCAAACAAATATGTGCTTAAGAGACATTTGTTTCCTGAGGTGACTTTAAAATAAGCACAACATGTTGTTAAGGAAGTATGATGTGATAAAATGTAGGTGGATCTAATCAGTGAAATACTCTACATATTACTGATTGTATGTTAAGGGATATAGTGCTATCAAGTAAACCACAACAAATCCATCGTAACAGAATAAAATTGGAAATGTCTTACGGATCAGTTTTAATAGGAAATGCTATGGAATAGATACCATGAGGCCAAAAGTCAAAGTTGTGATGAATTACAGTTCTGTTGCATCACTTTGATATTAAGCAGGGTGAGAATTTTTATCATGGTGGATTAAAAGTGACCTTCTTTATTACTTCAGATCGATTTTTCAGACTGTTTTCGCGAAATTCCCTGGAACAGAAAGTTCGTTATTTACTTGGTTGTCAACCGACGTTTATTTAAAAGCTTGATCAGGCCTTCGTAGACTGACTTATTGAGGCTACGGAGACCATTTCCCTTTGTTTTAGTACACAGGTCAAATTTTGCTATCAAATAAAAAATTAACCATGCTTGTTTAAAGTTTTGTAGGGGAATCATGAAACGGTATCAGGTTAAATTATCATTCTTCTAAATTGTTTATTCAAATATACTAAGATGCTGTAAACGGTAATTTCGTAAGGTGTTATTCTCAGGTAACAAAATATGCTCACTTTACCATCTGAAAAGGCAGAAACCGTGTGCAGCTGTATGTCTTGTAGAAGCAGTCTGTGATAACTTCGACCTGGCAGATTAATATCAATGGGATGAGTGACAGCTGAAGATGGAATGAAAACCGGTTAGTCCATAAAAATGTATCTCTACGTGTGTTATTGACAATGTGACAAGAAGTAGGTTTTTTAGAAGGATTTCACGGTGTCTGTCGACATCTATTCCCATTTTTCACACAGAAAACACTTTAAAAACACTATATCAGATATAACGGTACTGATGACTCTTTCTTGTGACTTCATCTGAAGTGGTGATGAATAGTGGCGTCCGTCAGGGATTTCCATTATCCCCATTTCTATTCAACTTCATCATAGATGTACTAATGGACTTAACCCTAACTCACTTCACAGACTCAGGGATTGACTTGCTACCAGGGAATAATCTCGTTGACTTAGAATATGCAGACGATATAGTCCTTCTAGGCGAGGACTCTGACAAAATGCAGAGTCTTCTGAACACCTTGAGCTGCAATCTACAAATGTTCGGCATACGATTCGCTCCCGTCAAATGTAAGATGATGTTACAGGATTGAACTACACCGACTCCTAGATAAGAAATAGGAAGTGAAGTGATATAGCATGTTGACCGCTTCACTTACTTGGGAAGTACCATCAGCACCAACGGGTTGATCTCCAACGAAATTTCCGCACGGATACAGAGGGATAGTTTCGCATATGACAATTTACGCCATCTCTGGCGTAGACGTGATATCGGACTATCGACCGAAGGGCGGGTGTACTGCTCATCAGTCCGCTCCGTCCTTTTTTATGGCTGTGAGACCTAGCCATTGAGAGCGGAAGACATGAAAAGATTAGCTGTCTTCGATCATAGGTGTCTGTGTTCCATCTCCCGTATGAAGTGGTATAATAAGGTGAGCAATATTGAGGTTAGGAGTCGAGTGATAGGCAAGGAGGGAAATCAATTGACAAGGCTGTGAAATTACATCGACTGAGATGGTTAGGACATGTGTCACGTATGCATAGTCATCGCCTTCCTCGACAGGCAATGTTAGCTGATATAGGGTCAGGCTGGAAAGGAGCTAGCTAGTGGTGGTCAAACCAAGACATGGCACCAGTCAATGAAATCTACAACAGTTGGTCTAAGCCACGTAGGAAGGTGTAGACTACCTGGTTGGGGTCCTCGGGACGGTAGAAACCAATAGCTGGAAACAATTGGTGATATGGCTCAAAGTAGTTCTCAATGGCGCAGATGCATCCACTCCTTGTGACATATGATATCCAATGAAACTATATTGCTTTTCGTTATTACTATTCCTTTGTCTCTTACCTCTGTTTACTGTCTATATTATGCATTTCTTCTGCTTTCTTCTCTTGCTTTGTGTGCTACATGGAGTGTGGCAACTTGAACTGCCACACATACATGCAAAGTTCTTTGTCGAAAACAGACAGACAGACTTGTGATTTCATTCACTGGAGATAAATACACAGCAGTTCCAAAAGACTGATTATTGAACAGAGAACATTCATTTCGATAACCTCCTTTTTATCAGGTTCTACGATTATTCATCCATAATAATGACAGAACGATTGTTATTAACAACATTAGTGGTTTTTAAAAAAAAGGAACATAGAATAATTTAGATCAGTTATTTGCAAATAGATGGTTAATAGGTTATAGTCCTAAACATATGTATGTGGTAATATATAGAATTTTAATACTTAATTGAACACCAATATTACAAAGCAAATGAATATGAATGACAACGAACATTTAGCAATAAATTCTCATGAGCCATGTTCATATTAAGTTCCATTCACATTGATTATAAACTTCATTTGGATGAGTGATGATGTCAAGGACTGGGGTGGAGAAAAAAGATTTTTTGGGTAGAATTTTATGTGCTTTGTATTTGCGTCAGTGTTTAAGTTAACCACTTCGCTTAATGCAAGTGTAATGGCAATGGGTAGAGGAATTTATATGTACAAGATGGAGAGCCATATCAAAAAGGCCGATGTAATGAGGTATTTATGAATTCGCAAACTCCACATCAGGTGAGGGCAGTAATAGTGGCTGGATCTGTTTCTACTGCACACAGAGCACCGCCTATCTCGGTCGAATCGCGATAGCCTCTGCTGTTTGTACTGTGCTGCACCTGGATGTTTTTGGCAATTTATTCGGTACCTAATAGACGATGGAGAATGACTATTAAATGCTTGCTTTGTGGCCGATTTGGACCAGGTGTTCTAATATGGAGTTACTTAACCACGCAGGTAGATGTTCTCGAGAAAATCAAGTTCCTAGAGCAACAGCCAATATAACTCGCTCCGCAAGAGCAGTTGTATTGGTTGATACAAGTTCCTCATATGACAAGATGTGCTGCATTTCAATTTACCCGAGATACTTTAAAATATGTAATGTCTTGTCAAAATTAAATTTTTTGACAAATTTTCTTAAGTTTGAATTTTTTTCTTTAGCATGAATGTTTTCTAACTCAGTGTGTGAACTAAAATGGAAGTGAAACAAATGGTGTGGAAAATGTGATGTTTCGTCATGACTTGGAACTGTCACCAGTTGGTAAAAAATAGTAGGCCAAACGAGTTGTAAATATACAGCTTTGTGACCTAGGGAGATTGAGTTCAGTAAAGAAGCGAATCACCTTTTACAGACAAGCACTGATCACGTCTGTATTAGCAAACTTGTAACATTTTACAGATGCGTCTAATATTTCTTTACAAATTGATGTCAAATTCGTAAGAAACCAATGTATATATAATTATATACTTCACACATATGTAGATTTTATTGAATATGGTGTCTTAGAACTATTGTGAATTAATATTCATACTCTGATAAAAGTAGAAACGATAGCCCACTTCACTTTAACATCGTCTTCATCGCTCCAACACCTACTTAGTCCAAGTTTGACCTTCTTTAGAAACATGCGCCTAAGCGTCTAACATGAATTGAATCCACGACCTTCATGTTATGAGGAGATGCCCATAACCATTGAGGCATTTGGCTAGAATTCAATGGGCTGTCTATCTTAACATCCATTGCTTCACGGAACAGCTCCATCACCATCCAACTCATTGTTTGATTGTTCACTGACCTAATCTAGCAACTTGAAAGTCCAGCTTTTGTTCCCCAGCGGCAAGAGAGCCTAATTCCGCGTGTTTTCAAATCTCGGAAATCCTCAGTGACTGGTTAAAATGTCCCTACTGGTGACCATGACAGCGACTGTTTGTCTTCAAAGTATCACCATAATTTCATTAATTTGCAATGACATTAACCATTTCATTGACACGATGTATGACACTTTCGCCAGGTGAACTGATCATTATTGCGTGATAAACTTGATGTCCTTCAACATTTCTGTTGAGATATGATGGACATAAGTAGCAGTCTTCTAGGAATACTTCAATATGAAAAGTGTTGATAACTAGGTCATAGAAGGTAGTATCCCATTTTTTAACAATAGCAAAGTGGAATTCTTGTTTGTCGGGAATATTAGTAAGCGTCATGCACACTGTATTCTGCCTCCGTTTTGTTTAGTTTCTTCCGTCTTACTGTATAACGCAATTAGCTGTGTATTGTTTTCATCATATGTTTTTCCTACTGTTTTAAATGTCTCAACAGTCATGCACTTATATAGCTAATGGCTATCCAAAAGGCTATTCTTGAAACAACAGTTAACATCTTAACACTTTTATATTAACAGCAATAACACAACAAATTGGTGCCTTCTAACACCATCTGCTAGACTATAGATATCATCAGCAGTCGAACTTTCAAAATGCGTTGGTTTAGCCTGATCAGAATCTTTATATTGAAGGTCGAAATCTAGATCATATGGTTCACTTCCCAGTCCTCTTGAAAGTATAAAGCTGAATTAACTGAATCTCAACTAAATGAACCCCTTGTTCGTCTTCAGCTTCATTAAGCGTTTCAAGTTTTGCTCGGACGATAAGCAAATTAGCGATATTCGACGTTATTCTAGGCTCTCCTTTGTCTACACGCATATTCTTGGGGTCCCAAGACAGGCCACATTGGTCATACAATTTCGAAAACTGCTTCCCTGAGATAACCTCAAACTTTCTTTTATTTAAACATTCCACTATATTGAGAGTATTCTCAAGTAACTGAGCTTACTTGAATTGTGATTCTTAAACAGTGCTTACAGGTTATGTAGGCTTCTAAAGCTCATCGATTTTAGTAAGGTTAGTTGTGTTGAGTACTAACATAACACTTCCCTTTCCTAGCACTTTCGACCGGTTTAAATAAATATTTATGTAAAATATTGTAATATTAGGCAGAGAGAGTTGAGCGGTGTATTATAACTAGTGCCAAGATCATTTATCTGTGTATGTATTCTGTGTACTAAACACGTAGAATGTACACAAAGCTAATTTTGTGATTCAGAACTGGCAAAGTCAGATTTTATTCACTTCTTAGATAGTTTTTAGCTTAACTTAAGATTGGAATAAACTAACTATTATTTGAAATTATTGAATATTATCAAAGCAAATAAATTCATTGTAATGACTATGTCGCAAGTTGCCGGTTGGTTTGTGGTATGAACCAAACAGTGAGAAATGATCATTCAAGAAGTCCTTAGTTCTAGTTATATTCTGAAGCAGTTATTATTGTTGTTACCTTGGGCTTTAACGGCGACTCTTCCTCCAAGTCACTCTTGGATGCCTAGCTATTCATGTCATATCCGGGTCCCACCCGAAGACCTGTCGTATGGTTTCACTGTGCACTATTTTGTAATAAGTTCTTGATTGGTTAATTGCAAAAGATCCTAATTGCTAATCATTTCTAGTGGGCCATTTCATCTTCAGTATGGAGAGAAGACGCCTGTGAATTATCACCTGCATTCCGTTGGAAATGCCATAGTTGTCGTGTGCACCAAGTCTTTGAATCACATAGTAGCACTTGGTATAAATATAAAAATATGAATCTTGTTCTTTGTGCTGAGTGCAGCAGAGTTTCAGACTGATTTCAAAGTATTGAAGGTCTGTCATGTTTTTCCGATCCCTTTCGGTTTTGAAATCCTCATCCCTGCCTCGTGCAGCTAAATTTCTGAAGACCAGATTAGTAAAAGAGATGTCTTTCCTCAAATGTCTCGCTTTGAAAAAGATTAGTGTATGTTGATTATTGGGTATACTTAACACCTGCGTCTTTCCTGCCTCCTCCGTTAACTTGTTGGTTTTTGAGTGTGGATCTTCAAATTCGTGTGACATTGACATAAACCACCTCCAAGTTCCAGGGCATCTGAAATTTTTATTTCGGTCCAGAATATTCTGTCTTCTTACTCTACACGGTCTGTAGAATGATCCACTCCACCACAGTCAGGATGTTCATCGCCAGATTTTGTGGTCCCAATTTTATAAGCCTGACCTAAACCCAGAAGATAATGGAAGATACTGCATGGTACTAGCGACCCTATCCTGTCAAACTGACACAGTCATCATAGGAACTTTAGAGTTGTAAATAAGCCTTACAATTTTATCCAAACTCACTTGACATATAATACTTCTTTAGTGACTCCGGAACCAAAACTCACTTTACTGAGTGTCTTAAGTAATTGAATCGTCTAAAAATTAAGCGTTAAGTCAAGGTGTCATTTTTGCAAATTATTTCTCACCCTGACTTAAGCTTCTAACTGACGAGAAAACAGGGATCTGGCATTTGAAACCAGATTTTTTCAGAACACTTTCAATGTCAGAAAATCTAGATACACATCCATAGCAACTAAGCGATAAATGTTTATGAACTAAGAAATATAATAGAGAAGATTTGTAGCTCAGGTGGATGACTTTGGTGTGGTTGTGTTCTCTGAGCTGGATGATTCGGTTGCGAAGCTTTCATTGCTCTACTGAGCAACATCTTCAGCGCATACTTCGATGTGAAGTGAGCTTTTAGAATTCTCTATGAGTTTATTAGTCATCTCTTCTAGTAACCTTGAACGTGATTGGTTGTTTTCGTGTAACATTTCACCCCCTAGTTTGCTTGTCTCGGTGCTGGCTGCTTCTTTGGTCTGAATGTCGTTAGTCATTCCTTCTGCTAACCTTGAACGTGATTGGTTGTTTTTGTGTGACTTCTCACTTTCTAGTTCACTTGTTTTGGTGTTGACTGTTTCCTTGACCTGAAGTTTGACTTTGTTTTTGTGTGAATTTCTTCGTATGGATTGGTATATTTTGTCAATCTCTATGTGTCTATTGATTGCTGATTCATTTGAATACCAGGCCTCTAGGAATTCTCCGGCATTTTCGCAGTTCCCTTTGTCTAAGATTTGAACATTGTCCCAGTCGAATTGGTGCCCGTGGTTGTCTGCATGTAGTGATATGAGGGAGTGTATGTCGTGTCTTTTGACAGCTAGTTTGTGTTCGTGAATGCGAAGACGAAGAGGGCGTCCACTTTGACCAATGTAATGTTTGTCGCAGTCGTTGCAACTTATCTTGTAGATGACGTAGAGGGAAAGTTCTCAGAACCAAGCTAACCAAAATCAAAAAACAACAGCCGAACAATACAATCGATTGCGTAATCAATTTATCAAAACAGCCGCTGTCAAAAATGGAACAACAACTACTTCAAAAAGGATTAAACTACAACACTGAAGACGCCTCGAAAACAGACTTCTTCGCTGCTCTTGAATCAACACTCAAATCATCAAAATTAAGTGAAGAAACACAAGAAGAGATACGTCAAACAATAGAGCCTATAGTTAAACAAAGAAAACGATA